CCGCCATTGTTATAATCGCCACCATTATTATTATCACTGCCAATATTATAATCACTGCCATTATCGCCGCCATTATTATAATCGCCGCCATTAGTATAATCACTACCATTATTATTATCGCCGCCATTATTATCACTGCCATTATTATAATCGCCACCATTATTACAATCACCACTATCAGCAGCATTATTATAATCACCCCATTATTATAATCACCGCCATTATCACCGCCATTGTTATTATCACCACCATTATTATTATCGCCATTATTATAATTGCTGCCATTATTATTATCACCGCTATTATTACAATCACCACATTATAATCACCGCCATTATTATAATTATTACTTTTTCTCATTAGCCTCGTTATTAGCATTTATTACGTTACAATGCTACATTATTATCAGCAGTATCTCTACCAATATTATTTTTAGTAATATTTACCACTGGCACTTTCAAATCCGTGATTAAACACTCATGACCATGCCCAGCGACAAAACATCGCTAATGATTAACAAGGGCTCTTTTTTTTTATGGAATATTTGAATCCCACCGTGGATTTTATTCTGTTCCGTGAAAAATAATTGAGCACAAAGCCCCTTGAGCAGCCAGGGATGAACACAAGGCGATTCCCGAAGTTTTGGACTGCCCAGATATTTTTTAAACATCTAAAAATGTGATTTTTTTTGTGTTTTTTTTCCCCCACAGCCGTAAGAATCCCATGGGACTCATCATTGCCCTGGATGACAACAACGAAGCGGTTGGGGAGTTATTCTGGGATGATGGAGAATCAACAGGTGAGCCCGTAGCGACCATCACCGCGAAGCAACGGTGACAAACACTACAGTAACGCTCGCAGCTTTGAATCATTGACCCAGTTTCATGGAAAGAGGATAAAATTTTTTTTAAAAAACTGATATTTCCAAGTGCCTAAAAATTAGTGTTTGTAAATGTCTGCACTTTCAGCCAGAAGGCCCTGGCCAGGCTGGATCCATGGGCCCAGCCCAATGGAGTGAGGGGCAACAAGGCCAAGGGCCGGGTCCTGCCCTGGGGTCACCACAACCCCAGGCAGCGCTCCAGGCGTGGGGCAGAGGGGCTGGAAAGCTGCCCGGCGGAAAAGGACCTGGGGGGGTTGGTCGCCAGGGGGCTGGATAGGAGCCAGCAGGGTGCCCAGGTGGCCAAGAGGGCCAGCGGCATCTTGGCTTGGATGAGGAGTGGTGTGGCCAGCAGGAGCAGGGCAGGGAGCGTGCCCCTGTGCTGGGCACTGGGGGGGCCGCCCCTCGAGTGCTGGGGTCAGGGTTGGGCCCCTCCCTCCCCGAAGGACCTGGGGGGGCTGGAGCGTGTCCAGAGAAGGGCAGCGGAGCTGGGGAGGGGTCTGGAGCCCCAGGCTGCTGGGGAGCGGCTGGGGGAGCTGGGGGGGTTCAGCCTGGAGCAGAGGAGGCTGAGGGGA